TACGTGCTGAACGGCTACGCCCCCGCTAACGAGGCGGGACATGTGCCAAAAGGAGCTGAATCTACGGAGTATAGAGAGAAGCACCTGGAGGCCAGAGATTTGCCCTGGCAGGTGCGTCGCCGAGCAGTCGGCCAAGTTCCAGCAAGGGCGTCGCTCATTGTCACGCTGGACGCCAACGCACACGCCCCGCCGTTGCTGCCATGGGCGGGCTTCGCAGGCGCGCGTAGGAATGTCCCAACGATTAATGCTAGCGGCCACGCGCTGATGGAGCTCATGGAGGACTACGGGCTTATGGCACTGAACACGTTCGGCAAGAGAGGAAGATTCAACGGCACCTGGAGGAGCCCGCAAGGTACGTGGACTAGGATTGACTACGTGCTGGTGCGACGGCGAGGAGGATACGGACATTCGTCGTTCCCGAGGGCTGATCTACCTGTGAACTTGGGCGGCTACAGGGACCACAGGCCATTGGAGCCACGCGTCTTTGCGGGTGCGAAGGCGGCAAAGACAGTGAAAGGAGCAGGCAACTTTCGATGGCGGAGGGAGCTCATGAGTGCAGACTTGTTGAAGGTGCAGCAGGCTGAGGAGGATTCGGACAACTCGGCCATGCTCCCCGACCGCGTGCTCAACTTCAGGCTTAAAGTCTTGGAGGGACCTGAGGCAAAGGGGCTACAGGAAGACTGGGCTGACATTTGTGGGACGGGCATGCGCTACGAGTCCCCATCGGGGTACTTCAACGAGCTGGAAGGAGTTGTGGCTGAGGCGGCGATGCAGGGCTACAGATCACCGCCAGTGGCGGGGAAGAGGATAGGCACAGTGTTCAGTGAGGAGACGGTGAAGTTGTTTAGGCCGGAGAAGTACTGGCAGTATCAACTGGCAGCCCTTCCAGACGGAGCTCAGCGGTTGCGGGCGCACTTTCAGTCGGTGTTCAACACGGCGGCGAAGTTGGCGACAGCGGCGATCAGGAATGAGAAACGGCAGAAGACCGTAGCACCGACGGAAGAAGCTGAGCGAGCGGCAGGTCAGAGAAACTTGAGGTGCCCCCACAACATCGTGAATATGTTAGCCCCCAAGCCTGCGGCGCCCATCATGACAGTGACAGATCCAGACACAGGGCTGCCGTGTTTCGACGCTGAGGACGATCAGCGAGTGCGCACTCGGAGCATATGCGAAGTGTGCGGCGGTCAGGCGATGGAACTGGACGACAGACCCATCCAGGCAGGCAAAACATACGCGCGACGACGACAGGATTGGCAGCTACGGCATGGAGGCGGTGAAGGAGAGCACCATGGCGTTGCCCAGTTTGAAGGGGGGACCCGCGCTTAGGTGGCCGAAATCTGGACCGCCTGGAGGCGCTGTTGCTGAATCCTGGAAGCTGGCGATTGACGCGCTTGCGCCGCCCATCCTGCAGGTCTTTAACGCGGTTCAGTCTCTGGGTGACGCCCCACAGAGGTTCAAGGGCGGCGAAACCATGCAGCTGCGCAAGCCAATGGGAGATGGTTGCTCGGCGTCGAAGGACTATCGCACCATCAACCTGATCAGCCATGTGGGGGAGACGTACGCCATGGTCACGTCGCTTGCGGCGATAAGGGAAGTGGCGCACAATGTTTCACCGACGCAGTTTGGAGCCATGCCAGGGAGAGGTACACGAGACGCAGTGGCAGTGGCAGGAGAAGTGAGTGTGCGCCATCAGCGAGCACATCGCGTGACCAGAAGAGGAAGTTCGTCCAAACCACCGCCTCTGTTGTCGGCAGTACTCACAGACATCGGGAAGGCATTCGACTGGGGAAAACATTTGGAGAAGCCTGGAGGCGCTTGAAGTTCGGTGGGATGCCCGAGTGACTTTGGAGGAGCTCCATGAAGGCATGTGCTACCTGTTCCGTGACGTTACCACTCATGAGCCTGTCGCGCGGATTTGGATCAAGCAAGGAGTGCGCCAGGGAGGAGTTGAGAGTCCTGGGCTATTCGTGGCTATCTATGATGGGATAGTGCATCGCAGATCGAACGATCTTCGCCAACAGGAGGTTACTGCCATCAGGGCGCATTTCCATCCCTCGTTGAAGAAGATTCGGATCAACGACGGCTTGAAGGAGGACGAGTGCGAGGAGCTGGATGCCTCGCAGCTAAAGTTCTTGGACGACTTGCTCACGTTCGCGGAGACTGAGGAGTACGACGATGCGTCCATCATACTGGAGGTGTTGCAAGGCGAAGTTAAAGCAGGAGGTATGCGCGTCAACACCAGGAAGACGGAGATGCTGCTCACGCCGACTGGAGTTGGGGGCAAGAAAAGGTTGAAGGATATTCGTGCGCAGAGCACAGGCGTTGTGACGTGGGAAGGGGATGACTATGTCCCACTGCACCCACAACAGACGGTCAAGTACTTGGGGGTGCAGCTGGCGGCGACGGGTACAAACCACGTGGAGGCCACCAACCGTATCAGGGCCGCCAACTCCACCCATGCGCGCTTGCTCCGCCGTGCATTCAAGAGCGGGTTTAGCCCCAAGTTGAAGATCATATTATGGAAGGCATTGTTACGTTCGGTGTGCTTATACGGCTTGGAGATCGCCAACCTCACCAAGAGGGAGCTCAACAGGCTGGAGAGCTGGCAGGTGAGAAAACTTCGAGGATTATTGAATTCGCCAGCTCACCTGTACAAGAAGACCGATCGCGAGATCAAAAAGCAGGCCCGTGATCCGACGGTTGCGAGCACGTTGTTGTTACGGAGACTGAGGTGGTGGATAAAGGTGCTATGGCCGGCCTTCAGGGAGCCCTGTGACGACCTGTACGACCCGACGCTTGCGGTCAGGGCAGTCGTCTTCGGACGCTTCTCGTTCGAGCAGGTTGGCCAGGGGGGGCAGTCGGGCCTGCCGACGCTGCTGCTGGAGGACATGCGGCAGATGTGGCAGACTGTGGGCGCACAGGAGAAGCTCGCGGCCCGTCGGCTTTTACTGTTGCATGGCGACTCTCCTGGGCTGGCTGAGCCTTGGCTGCGCTGGCTCGCCCTCCTTGAGCCGCGCAGTTTCCGCCGTGTGCTGGCTTGCGGCGGTGAGATGGACACTGCGACTGACACGGCAGCCATCGCGTGGCTGGAGTACGACCTGCGCGGGCAAAAATGCAATGGGGAAAAGGGTTTAGCCAATCACAAACACGCGGCCCATCAAGTTCATGCAAACCCAGCAGCAGAAGCCCTCGCAGAGATTGGCTTGAAACCGAAGGTATTTCCTCACTGCCGGAAGTTATTTACGAGAAGAGACACGCTGGTAAGACGCGTTAAACAGAAACGTTGCACTGTCCGCCCCAGAGAAGTTGAGGCTCAAGCTAGACATTCAGAACTACAAGAGCCCGCTGCCTCCTCTGCAGTACCAGCACCTGCTGCGGCGGGCGATGTTCAAGCCGATGGGCGAGGTGCAAGTGACGGCGGGCAGCAACGAGAGCAAGAGGACGGCGGCAGAGGCAGGGGTCGTGGGCGAAGGCAAGGGCGACCAGCCCGACGTGGTGGGCCCCTTGGCCAAGGCGCTGGCGCGGCTGGCCCTGCAGCACGAGGATGTGGCGAGGTCGGCTCACAGGGGCGACAACTTCGTGATCCCGCTCAAGCCGACGCAGAAGATGGCGACAGCGCTGGACCAGGCTCTGGCGCACTACGAGGAAGAGGGCACCAAGGCCAAGGAGAAGGCGAAGGAGAAGCAGGAGGAGTTCATGGGCAACCCACTCGGCAAGCGCCCCGACGCGCTGGCGAGGGCAGTTCTGTTCCGCATGTCGGAGGCCGTGGAGGACAAGAAGGATGCAGTGCTGGCGGCCGTGGAACAGGGCATCGAACCGCAGGCCGCCAAGGCCGCGCTGGACGAACTCTTGAAGGTTGGGAAGATGGTGCAGGACCCGCAGTTGAAGTTCGCGGCGACGAGGTGCTTCAAAGTGAAGAGCAAGAACGACGAGGAGGGCTTAGAGGCAGGAGAGTGCAAATGGATCTTTGCGGCGAACCACTACCCAGGGCTGAAGGAGTCGCTGAATCTGCTGAGGCGCAATGGCGCACTGGCCGCTGTTGGGGTGGGCCTCCAGTGCGACATCGCGACGAGGTCCAAGGCGGCGAAGGAAGTGGAGCCGTTGGCGTTCAAGGGCTGCAAGGGTACGCAGACGAGCAGGAGCAAGAAGCCCAGGAAGAAATAGGAGCTCGAGCGCCGCCGCCTGCTCTGGCCGCAACTGCGACGCCCACAGCTGCGACGCCAGCACCTACACCAGCATCGACGCCAGCACCAACGAGTGAGGGGAGAGGCTTTGCCGCTGCCGCCGAGAATAGTACTCCTCCCTCCGCCTTTACCTCGCCTTTTTACCTCCCTCTCCCCTTTCCGACCACTCAAACGCAGCTCGAGAAATACTTTCGCAGGGGGCCACGCTAAGAATGCGGTGGACCTTTTGCGCCTTTCTCCCCACCAGAGGGGGGGGGGGCGTCCCCGCATGTGCCACTCCCGCAGGGGTGGGGGTGCGCGGGCGCGGGGCTGAGGCCAGTCGGGCCTGCCGCTCTGCACCCGCTGTCCGTTCCAGGGCCTCGTTTCCGATTTTGAAACGCGCCGCGTCGTTTTCACGGTTGTGCTGAAGCCCCCGCTAAACTTCCGAGGCTAAGGGAGTCGCGTTGAAAAAAGGAACGCGGCCGAAGTAAAAGATGCGCCCCCAAAAATGAAAACGTTTTTGGTTTCAGGGTTTCCGAAATCGCCTGCATCTTCATACAGTAGGTTCGTGTCGTGACGACCGGCGGCGACCCCGCCAGCGGCGTTCAACGAAGAACGCCGCGGGCGAGCCAGAATCGTTCGATGTGGAACGGTTTGGACGTTTCGGGAACGGCCGATCGTTCCAGGTTGAACGATCCCCGCGGTGTCAAAAACCAACGCCAAGGTCGGCACGACACGAACCTGACGTAACGTGCCTCCTCGCATTCGGAAGCCCAGATATTGTTCCTCTGCTCGTCGCCTTCGCGTGCGTCCCGACCTGCTCCGCGGACGCCGCAGGCATGGTGCCCCCCGGCATGCTGCCGGTGATGGGCGGGATGCCACCGCCAGGCCCAGGGAGGAGCGGGGGCCAGGCGGAGGCGAGAGAGGCAAGTCCAGGGGAGAGCCGAGGGGAGCTGGAGAGGCGCAGCGGCTGAGGGCCAACCGGAAGAAGTGCGGTGAGCCATGCAGCTTCTCTCAAGTCGGGCATGTTCCCCTACAGGGGAAATAGCCGAGGATAGTAAAAAGTAGTTTTGTGGCGATGCATCCTGCTCGTTTTCAGATGTCGTGTTGGCCCTTGTCTACTTTTCCTTCAAAGCCCGCCGGTAGAAGCACATGCCCGACCTAAAGCTTCCCCCGACCTGCATACGGAGCATCTCTTCTGCTCGGATTTCCAAACGGGCAGCAGTTCGTGCTACGGCGGGGGCGTTGGTTAAGGCATGCGCCCAGAATGGGTTCAGAAACCGGGAGCTTCCCTATCTGATAATGGCAGTGGTGGTATCCATGGCCATCGAACGATTGGAGTTCCACTGGTTTCAAGACCTTAGATGCCTTACCCAATGGTTTCTTTTCCAATACCCTCACATATAGTCTTTTGTGAAGGGCTTACGGCTAGTGCCGCCGACCCAGACGGACGACGACAACCACGACGACAACGACAACGGTAAGCTGATGACCCTGCCACAGGCTCGGGACACATGGGGTTGGCTTTGAAGGGAGGAGGATGAGGAGTAGTAGCGGGAGGAGGAGAGGAGGAGGAGGGAGGGTAACTGGGGTAGGGTGCGGTGGAGGAGGAGGATGGGGAGAAAGAGAAAGAGGAGGAGGAGGAGGAGCAGGAGGAGAGTCGTCTGTCTCCTCGGGGCGGGCCTATTGGAGGTAAAAACCGGGGGGGTTAAGCCCCCAGCGGGGAAGGGGTCCCCTGGGATCCCTCCCGGGACCGCCCCCCCGACCACCCTGGGACCACATCCCGGGATCCCCCCCCCCCGCCATGGAAGGGAATGGCGCTTTCTTTCGACGTGATTGCAAGTTCGTTCGAGGTTGGGCTGGCCTCGCGTCGAGGGGACTCCCGCACAATCCGACTGGGTCGGCGAATGTCTTGTTTCATCACGGTGCGAGTTCGCCACCACTCTCGGGCGGGCTCTCCTGGGGCAGGGGTTGCTGGAGAGCGGCGCCGGCGGGCGTACGCTCCATGGAAAGTCCTGCTCGAACTCTTCTTGGTTTTGGCGCAGCTTTCTGACTCAAGGCGAAGCGCGCAGGGACGTTGGCAGGCACGCGAGCGGGATCGATGCGCCGGGGAGCTTGACTGCTGCTTCCCGCGAGGTGACGGTGATGACATGTTTACGGGCGGCAAAAGGCCAGGCGCCGCGATGAGGGGGATCGAGATGTGATCAGGAAAAGGATAGCGAGGCGGGTAGAGATATGCATGTAGGGATACGGTTGGGGCGTTGGCTCAGGAATGTGTCCAGGAGACTCCAGACCCTGGTGGATCCCCTATATGATTATGGCGGCGGTGATATCCATGGCCAGTCCACGAGTGGAGTTCCAACGGCTTCCAGACCGTGGATTCCCTATCCACAGATTTCTTATCCAATGCCTTTGCCGTAGGGGTCGCTATGTACATATGTATGTATGTGTATGTATGTGTATATATATGTATATATACATACTTGTATATCCATATATGTATTGATATACAGATGTGTACATATGCACTGTATATTCATGCTTTGGGATCCGGATAGGGATAGGGATAGGGATGGGGGTATAAGTTACGGATAAAAGGTATAATGGATAGGGATTGGGGTGTAGAGGCTGAGTAATGGGAATAGGGATGCGGATGCGGATAGCGGCAGGGGTAGGGACGTCAATGTGAGGCCGCGGGAGGCCACGGGAGGCCATTTAAGACAACAGGGGGGAAAACAGGAGACAGCTGGAGGCAACGTCGCCTCATTGTGTCTGGATCTGGCAATGCACTTGCTAGTTGCTTCGAACATGTATGTAGAAGCCTTACAGACGAGCTGTGAACGAATAGCAATGGCACAACAGAAGCATACCCCCACCGACCGCTGCAAGCTTGGCGGTGGACCAAACGATTCCCTCTCCGTTGCCCCAGTGAGGTTGGCCGACGAGATCGTATGATTCTCGTTGACAGGCTACCTTGCAACATCAGCAACGGCAATCATCTCAAGAATGGGTGCTCTTAATTGTTCGCGTGTAGTTCAGTTGATCTCCCAAGCTCTCGACAACTGTTTCCCCGATGTTCGATGATCAGAGGCTTTTTTCTTACCCGAGGAACGAGTAACTATTGTACAGGACCTTCGAACAGGCGAAGTGTTGGATCTCACCACAAGCCATCCGCCAGCTCATGTTCAATGACCTCCCACGCTGTAACCCAACTCCTCGACACCCCCCTTCGCCAAAACCTCAAGATCTTGGGCAGCTTGCCATGCCAACGAGAACCTGTTGCTTTCTTTTTCATTATCGGGTAGACAGGAAAGTGCGACCAATGTGTGCGCGCGAGAGACGGAGACAGACAGACAGACAGACAGACAGACAGACAGACAGACAGACAGACAGACAGACAGACAGACAGACAGACAGACAGACAGACAGACAGACAGACCAACAGACAGACCAACAGACCAACAGACAAACACACACAGACAGACAGACAGACAGACAGACAGACAGGCAGGCAGACAGGCAGACAGACAGACAGGCAGACAGACAGACAGCAGGACAGACAAAGAGAGACGGTTAGGTAGTGATTCGTATCTATATGTACACATATATGTATATATATATATATATGAATATGCAGAGAGAGAGAGGGAGAGAGAGCGAGAGAGAGCGTGAGCGTGAGAGAGAGAGAGAGAGAGCGAGAGAGAGAGAGAGAGAGACAGAAATAAAGAAAGGCAGACAGACAGACAGACGGAGAGCGAGAGTGACACAGATATTGTAGTGTTCCAAACGAGTTTGTACGCAGTCCTGGCTGCAAGCCCGTCCTCCGTATATGGCTACCCCCGCTCAAGCCTCTTCGACGCAGGGCCCCCCCTGCCAACCTCGGCGGGGCGTGGCTGGGCCGCGGCCCCGCCTGCCCGCCGCTGCCCGCATGACCAGCGCCCGTGCTGACCTGCCCGACCGTCAGCCTCAGCTGCCCCGCGCCTCTGGCGCTGACTTGCCCGCAGGTGAGCTGCACCGAACCCTGGCGCCCACCTTGCGATGTAGCGCCCGCGGAAGCGGCGATTTGCCCCACGCCCGTCCGCGAGGACGCGGGCTGTGGCCTGCCGTATTGGGTCGTGGCGTTCGCGGCGGTCATCAGCTGGAGTTGCCATGCGTGCTCCACGGCATGCGTGTTTCAGGTTTGCTCCCGTCGCTCTCACTATACTAACCGTGGCGTCGTTTTTGACATGGTGCCGGGAACGTGAGCAGCCCAGTACGCCGAGGACGAGTTCTGGCATGAACACGTTTTGTGCTAGCCCCTGTTTCAGGAAAAGGTAGGTGCTACTGGCTGGGTGGTGAAAACACCCGGTGGTGTTCATTGTATTGAGCCGATTGCGGGGGCCACCCAAATGAGAGCCCGGCGGCCTAGTGGAATGGCTTCGCCCCGCAGCTGATGGGCGTCTCCTTGTTCCTTTCCGCGACACCGTGTATACTTTCCTTTGGGTTTCCTTCGGGGCTTTGCTCATCAAGCAGCGCGTGGCCCGAGATGCGAAGCTTGCCCTGAAGGGTGCTAAGAGGGGCGACTCGTCCTGGTGACGTTCAATTCCGTGCGCCTGGCGAACGGGTCGCGCGTCCCCATCGAGACCTTGCTGGACAATTCCTTCGTGGGTCCGGTTTTCTGGGGCTCGGGACCTGACGGCGACGGAGGCGGAGGAGGTAGCAGCAGCTCGGCACAGGTTGGCTAGACGACGACACCAGGCACTGGCGTGCAGCGACCTGGTGGAGTCGGGCAACTCTGTAGATTATGAGGTCGGGATTTCGGTGGAACCAGTGACGGTGCTCTTCGGGGCCAGGGGCGTGAACTTTCCAAACAACATGGAGCGTGCGTGCGCGGTGCGATTAACTGACGAGAACCAGGCGGAATTCGTGACCCGCGTGGCACCAAAGCCCACGGCCGTGCCCGCCGCTGCCTTTGCCCAGGATGCGAGGACCCTTGCCCTCAAATGCACTGCCCAGGGTTGTCAGTGCGATTGGCTTGATGTGTTGGATAGTTTCCAGCAGGAGGAGATCACAGACTTTGCCGGAAGTCGTTCGAGAAGTCCCTGTTGGTGCTGCATCTTCTCCGAAGACGGCACATGCCCTTCGACCGCCACTTCACATTCCTAAGCACGTGCTCCTTCCATCCAGCGCAGTGGGGCGTGGTAGAGCTTGAGACGCTGCCGGGCCAAATCGAACTCGCTTGTCAGTATGGCAGATTTGACTTGACCAACCTGGCGCGCATGGAAGCCGCCGCGAGGCGGGCGCAGACGATAGGGCGGGCGTATCATGATGCGATCTAAAAGACCGAACTCGCGCGCGTCTACGGATGTGGCGCCCGTTTTCTGCGGGCCCAGTCGGGCGGGCGGTCTGTGGGCGGTCTCGCCAGCCCCCCTCGATCGAGCGATGGCGCGCGTCGAGAAGGGCGCTGCCATCGCGGGGGGGGGGGGGGGGGGTGCGTCCGCGGGGCGAAGGAGGCGAGGGGCCTCCGCCGCGTGATGGACGAGCAGGGACGATGGGCCCCAAAGGAGGGGGAGGCACTGCGGCGAAGCCCCCCTGCCCGACCTTCTCCCCGCCCGGCCTCGGTCGCAAGTTCCCCGCCCAAGGGTCGGTCCAAAGCCCCGCCCCGCTGGCCTGGCCCGCCCTGGAGTGGGTGAGCCGCGCCGGCCGCCGCGCCAAGACGCCTTACTTTGACTGCAAGGCGTTCGTTCGCTTCTCAAGTCTTGTCGGCGCGCGCGGCGGCGGGCCTTCGTGCGCGGCGCGGTCGTTATGTTTATCTTGAGCTCGGCAATCTTTTCATGCTAAATCTTGGCAGGCGTGGGGCAGGGGTCGTCTGCTGCTCCGTCTGACCTCGGGCGCGCCCCGCGCGCGGC